CGTCCCATATCATGATGTTACTACCACCATTTTTAAGAGTTTAATGGGTTCATTGTCCATGGGATTGAATGCCCTTTTCATTCCTTTAAGGTACCCTTCGTCAATATGGCTGAACTTAGTTCTGCTCTCACCAGACCAAGATATCTTTTGTGTTTGGTTTAAGAATATACAGTGTATAAAATCAGCTACAAGCCAGTTCACTTCTACCACATCTGCAGTCACATCCTCCTTGAATCAAACAATGTTGATTACAACTAACTAGTCTCTTCCAGTCGTTCATATGCATGAAAACTATCAATCCAAATCAGCAACAAGCTGCTATCATCTTGTAAATTCACTTGTTCGCCTTCTATCTGATTTACAAACTTAAACTTGGAACAAAAATAAAAAGCTTGGCATGGTTTGCCACATCAGCTGCCTGGCACAGAGCCGATGCTGGGTACGCACCGTGGATCCCAAGCTTGAATCCCTCCTTTTGTCTGTTTTTGTCTCGATTTAGTGTCAGAGATTAAAAATAGTAAGTATGTTTCTGCAGAATAAGCACTTCACACATTCTGGCTTTGATGCTGTTTTCCTGGAGAGACCAGCTGTCACCTGCGCCTAGCAAGAGTAGGCCTCACGACTGATTTTTAATACTCGCTGGGGTTTGGATGTCTGCCACCAGACAACGCAGATGGGTTTGTGCATCCATTTTCCTTCATAAATGTTGGGGAACTTCTGGTGTTTGGAACTTTGGAGTTCCACTATCAAACTAAAGCACTGTACATGTGTGTGACTGCGTAGAGCACAAACAAACGGGGATAATTACGTGACCCGTGCTGACAAATCAATCAATGAGCACAGGCTGCAGTGGAAAAAATGTGAATATACTGATTTTTGCCGTAAATGAGATTTGTGGACAAATGAGTTCAAAAGGACAACATCTAGCGATCCCAGAAATGATAAAATAACATATAATCTCCTTAATCTGGCTTTAAATCAAAGCTTTCCGTCAGGCATGTCTTAGGTAAGAAATAATACTTTTAATTTCCTTTGACCATTTTTCTCTGCTGACAGCTGTAGCACCAATAAATCTGGTTGTAAATTGTGTGGCGCCCATGTAAAGCTTTGGGATTCCCCTTTATCTTAATCTTATTAATCTTCTCTAAAGACACATTTTTTTTTCTCTTTGGCTTTTAACTCAGTTTGAAATGTTGATTTTACTGTTTTTAAATTACTAATTTTATTGTTTTTACTGTTGGCTGTTTTATGATTTTAACATTTCATTACTTTTACAGTATCTGTTGATTTTATGGTTTTTATGCTTGTATGTTAGTGTACAGCACTTTGGCCAATGGTGTTGTTTTTAAAGTGCTTTATAAATAAAGTTGTATTGTATTATTGTATTTATAAAAATAGGGATGGATTTCCCGATGACATCACTTTTTTTAAACTGTACACATGTAATCAAAACTGGAGAAATTTCATTTCCTGTGAAAATGCAGTGTGAACGCTTATTGCAAAAGAACTACCTGAGAAACAGCTGAAATTAGCTAAAAACATGCTGAAATGGAACAAACCCAACTTAGCAGAAGAAAGCAGAAAGAAAATGTTTGCCCGTTTAGACTTAAAGAAGAAAGAAGCAGACATGAGCAAAAAAAGGTGGAAATTATCTGAAAAAGCTGAAATTTGCCAAAAAAAAAAAGGTGAAAAGTAGCTAAAATATCAGAAAGCTTAAATTACCAGAAAGAAGTGGAGAGAACATTTTTGCTGAATTAGGCTGAAAAAAGTTGAAAGGAGTGCAAAAATGAGACATTAGCTGAAAAAGCTAAAATTTGCATAAAACAGCTAAACTGTAGCTGAAATACCTTAAACTAGCATAAATAAGCTGAAAGGATTAGAAAGAAGTTTGAAGAAGCACAAAAATGTTCTAGTTAGCAGAAAGAATCTGAAAGGAGCACAAAATGGCTGAAAGAACAGCTGAAAGTAGCTGAAAAAAAAAGTTTAGATTTGCAGAAGGCAGCTGAAAGAAGCTGAACCAGAACAAAATGTGAAAAAAGCAGTAAAAGGTTGTAAACAGATCTAAAGATTTGAAGGATGTAAAATGAGCTCAATTCATTTTCTTTTCGGAAAAAAATGTCAGAAAAGGCCAAATATTTAAAAAAGCTAAAGTTGCATCAATACCAAGTCATAGCACCCTTCTGCCAAACGTGCTGGACATTTTGTTATGATTTGTTGAAATAGCACAAAATTTGTGTAACGAGAAAGATGCTGAAAAACGTACAGAAGAAAAATGGGTCACAATAGTGTGAATGCTTCATTTACACAGCTAGCTTGTTCCTAGCCAGGTGATTGCTAAATTTCAACAAATCAGTTTGAAGCTTTAGGAATGGACAACATCCTTTCATTATCTTTACCTGCTTCTTCCTTTTCAAGTCATAGAGGTCACTGTGCGAGAGGACAGGTCTCCAGTCCGTCACAGGGACACATAGAGACAAACGAGACAACCAACCATTCACTCTCTCACTCACACCTAGGAACTATTTAGAGTTACCAATCAGTCTTACATGCATGTTTTTGGTCTGTGGGAGGAAACTGGAGTACCAGGAGAAAACCCACGCATGCACGAAGAGAACAAGCAAACTCCACCCAGTAAGGCCCCTGGCTGGGATTTGAACCAGCGACCTTCTATCTGAGAGGCAACAATTCTACCAACTGAGCCACTGTGCCACCAGGGAAGGAAAACTTGAAAATAATAATTCAATAATTTAGCTTCAAAATAGAAATCAATGTTTTTGTTTTAAAATCTTATTTTACTGATCGTGTCCTGGATGACTGAAAATCTTTACCAGCATATTTAAAAACTTCTCGTAACTCGTTTAGCAGTACGGGACACATTAACTACAGGAATGGGGTTTTTTTTTCTACAAAAACACTGAGTGCTAATTACTTTGCTTAAATTTGTTGAAGGCGAATTAGCAAAACAGTAGCTAAAAGCCAAAATTAGCTAAACCGAATATAAAGCTAAACTTTATATATAAGCTAATATTAGCAAAGCAGTAGTTAAGATAAAGTGTATGTAAAACTTTGAATAAGGAAAACAGCAGCCACAACTTGAATTAGATAAACTGTAGCTAATACCGTCACTAAAAGTTAAATTTAGTGAGAATAAAGCTAAAGTTAAGCTTTAGCTAAAAGCCAAGCAGAATAGAAAACTGTTGGGTAAAAGTTGCCTATGAAGTCAAATTTCAGTACCGTACTTGCAGCCGTACACGTTGCACCGCCGTGTAAGTCACATCAGTCCATAGATGTCTAATAAAGTAGGAAAAAACATAAATAAGTCGCTTCGTCATATAAGTTGCATCTATTATGCGTTACCACTGACGCATCACGTTTGTTATTCATCACCGCTGACCACCCGGAAACGTGGGCCAGCGTTGTCCCAAAAATCAATTGGCTGCCAAATGGCAGCCGTGGGAGCGTGCACAGGAGGACTTTAACATGAATTTAACAAGATTAACACTTAAAAACAATTATTTCTTTGCTCAAAATTATAGTAAAGGTCCGTCTCAGTTGAACTTTTCCTTAATAAATGCACTTTAAGGGTCAAATCAGCTGCATTTCACCTGGGCGGCGCGGCAAAATTCAGCTGATTTGACGTTTGCTCCAGGAGTTCCGGAGCGAGACGAAGGTGGCTTGGTATGGCAAGCCAAATGTCTCATTAATAGCCACTTTTACCTATTAAAATGACGCTTGGCTTGCCACACTAATCGAGTGCCCTCTAGTGGCTGAAAATGGTAGTGTTCAATATTTTCCATGTCGGAATAAATGAAATAGTCAAATCTCGGACAAAAATTGGGTTATAAATATGAGGGGAAAAAAAGTTGCTTTGCTGTACAAGTCACAGGGTATGCTACTTTATGCAAAAATATGTGACTTATACAGCAAAAAGTACGATAGCTAAAGCATGCATCCATTATATTTTATCCACCTTTTCCTTTCCAGGTCGCAGGGGTCACAGGTATCCATATCCAGAAGTCACTGTGCGAGAGGCGAGGGACACCCTGGACAGGTCTCCAGTCCATCACAGGGCAGATTAAAAAATTCTGAAGAACTTGAAGAGATCTCTTTGTATTACTATGGAGACTTTTTAAAATTAAAAATTTTGAAAAGCATAAAACTTACAAAAACCAAAAGTCATAATCCACTATCCGTTAGAGCCGATTGTTTTGAAATATGAATACAGCAGCACCAAGTCCGCTGAAGTAGTTTGAATGCAAAAATTGTACGAAAGAAAATATTAACTGGAAGACGGAGTAAAATTCATGAACTTTAAGTTCACGGAGTTCCATTAAACTGTGGAGAACTTGGTGTAAATTTGTAAGACGGAAATCATTTTTCTTCAAAAGCTAAAAAGAAAATAGTAAAAGTTTTCATCATCAAATCTCCGAAATGTGTTTTGTCTTTTTACTGACGCACCTGTTCAAAACAAGAACCAACACTGCTGCAACACTGGAGCATTTATTTGAACAATTTATTACTTTGACAAACAGCTTAAGGCACATGTATTCACATCCCAATACAAAATATTAGAAAAAAAAAACATGGATGCACTTCTTTAAATTACGAGTCATAAATATAGTGAGATTATTATTTCAAAAATATCAATAACAGGTTCATAAATTTTGGCCGATGTGATTTGGAACCACTGTGGATGTAGCACCAAAATGCAGCATTGAGTTTATAAACTTAAGAATTGGGATTATCATTTCGCAGTGGAAAACATCAAGGATATGGGACGTCCAAGTTGATTACGCTGTTTGTTTACCCAATTGTTTTCCTCTTTAGTGCATAAAGTTTGCCATACATGTGAAGGTTTTCTGTTTGAACAAACTGGTCTAAATACAGAGGTGGTTTTGTTAGTGAAGCAAAATGTTTTCGGTTTTCTTGAAGGACGTTGACGACCAGCGACATTTCAATAATCAGCTTTTTTTTTTATCCTTCTGTGACATCAGATCAGATCATGCCAAGTTGTCACCTTGACAGGTGTCACTTTGTGCAGGAGGACAGTGAAAGTCCAACTCGGTTTCACTTAACCCCGATGTGGTTCGGCTCTTTGGAACTGATATCGAGGCTTCGTCAAGTCCATCATCAGACTCTCCGTCCTGGCAGGGTAGACGACCCGTCTGTGAGCGACGGGCAGAAGGTTGCTCGGTGGGACGGACGTCCAGCGCCACAGCAGCTTCTTCTCCTTCCTCCACGGTGGAGTTCAGCTCTTCGTCTCTTTCTTCCTCCCGTCCTGCCTCTTCCACCGGACTGCGTCCATCGACCAGCTCCAGATCGTCCGTCAGTGTCACGATGTCCCCCCCTCCCCTGTCGATCCCATTCGTCTCCAGTTCGTCCTCGAGAGGATCCAGGCTGCTGAGCAGTGCAGGTGTGTCGTCCCTGCCGATGCCATCTGTGCCAAGGTCGCCGTCGGCGGTGTGGCGTTCCCAAGATGATTCATGGGGACTCCTGTCACCTGACAGAAAAGGGAGAAAGAAAATGAGATGGCAGGTCCTTTTAATTCTTCACTTTACCTGAAGCTGCATCAGAAACCAACGCTTCAGCCTCATTTTGCCTCGATGGTTTTCATCCAGGAGATCGTCTGTGGCACGAGACTGTAGATGAACAGATGCTGGGATGTATTCATCATTTAACGCGAGTTCCTCATTTTTCTGGACTGAATAAAACGTGCATTGAATTTAAGGAAATGCAAACGTGAGACGTCATTTAAATTTGACCCATCAAAATGAATGCGGTCATTTATTTACAGAATCAAATTTAACATCAAACATTTACATTAATTTGGCAAATTATGAAAATAACAACATAAGCAATCAATCAGGAAAAATCATACGGCCATGATTTTACCGTTGCTGCACCACAGACATTTATAAAACTGTACAACTATGATCTTTTACCCACACGGATGTGAATAAGCACTTTACACAGACATTTCTAAATATCTGGGAGAATTTCTACTTCATAGGAAAGTTTAAAGATGGAAAGAAGTTTAGAGGGAGTAAAGGATGGGGTTTGAGGGAAATTGAATGTTACCAGAACCGACACTCTCCATCAGAAGCCCAGCTCGCCTCGGTACGCTTGGTAGGAAACTTGACCCATTACCTCTCTGATGATAATCAGCAGATATGGTGTTCCGTTAACGCTACCGGTCCAGCGTCTCCTTAGAATGGCTGTTGCCCGTCAGAAGTAGTGGCGAGGCTCTGTTCGACACACATTCACCTCAGTGGAAAATGTTATAATCCCATGGAACTCGGAAGAGCTTCGTTGTCATGTCAGGAACTCCAACAGCACTCCATCAGAACTTTAGCTCTCGTGTAGTTTACAGAACTCCCACAGAACTCTTGAAGTCTGACAACTCTCCAACTCTGTAACTCCGTGAGTCTCTGAGTCTGTGTAAACCAGGAAGTACTGACATTTTAAAGACTCTTTCCCGGTTCACTTTTTGGGATTTTTCATTGGTCAGAAACGACCAGAAGGGGTGTGTTTTTGTGACGTAAGGGGTTAGAGACAGCGAGAATTGTTATGAGACAGCTCAGAAATGTTCTCACAGACCGAGAGGGTTCTGTTTTGGCGTGCCTAAGACACAGGTGCAAAACATCTCTATTTACGTCTGAGAGGATTCTAAAACATGACAGTTTTAACATAACAACTTGTTTTTCGTTTGACTGTAACCTTGTAAACGCACACACTTGCTCATTCAAAAGCAGAAATCAGAAAAATGCATAAACTCTGCACAGCTTTTAACATGAGAATAAAACTCATTACTCAGTTAATAAAATTGATTAGTTCACTGCAACATCTAAAATGGTTTGAACTAAGACACTTTGATTATCAACATTTGTAAGATAGTAATGATAATAAAAAGAGAGTGTTCTTTTCACTTGAATCTTCAAGAGAGAAAGTCTCAGGATGGGTGAACCTGTATCTATGTATTCAAATACATGAAATGACAGCTTCTGTCCCACAAGGTTCTAAAGGTCAAGAGTTTTGACCTTAGACTTAGTTCCGACGTAGGCTTAGTCCACTACAAGACAAACCAAGGGCGTTCTTTATACAAACATGACAACTACTGTTAAAGCAGTGTCAAAAAGTATTAATGGTAAATATCTTACCTGTTGTAGATAACTCTTTGAATAACTACAATTAGGAAAAACCGAGTAAGTCTAAACATGTTGTAGACCAAATATCCCCACCTTCTTATGTTTTTGTGGATTAAAGCCAGCTGGAACCAGTTTACAGGAGCTGCCATCTTGTATTAGTGGAACCACAACTAGCGATATTGAGCTTTAGGTCCAACCTACTATCCCACCTACAATCAAGGTGTAATATGACTTTTTTTAGAGCTTGAAATTGGGCCTGTTGTGATAAACAATAAATCAATTAATCGCATGATAAATGAAAATTATCGACCTCACTTTCATTTATCGGCTTTACTGTTTCTTCGTGTCTCTTTCTACTGAAGACACTGGATGACTAAAAGTGGTGCTCTTCACTGACTCCTCCCTTTCTCTTTTCTTTTGAAAATCCATTTTAACCTTCAAAATCACGTTTTTGGATTGTTAAAAGCAGTTAAGCCGAGAAGCTGAGCTACGAGCTAAGCTAACAGGCCGACCTCAGGAGAAAACCTCTGTCTTGTCGAAGCTCCAAAATTCACGGTTGAAATCTGTGCCTTCGTGTAAAAAGTTGTTTTTCTCTGCATAAAGAAGTAGAGAACTTTGTTTAGTGATTTTTTTAAAGCGCTTTGTGTGAAAAATGCTATGCTAAAGAGCTCAAAGCACACCGGGCGTCCCCCATTTTGAGAAACGAAGAGAGACAGCCCATGTCATGTCAAGGGACCTCCCTCTCATTTTTCTTAAAGACACGCTGCTCGCTCCCTCACCATCTATCCTTTGGTTCAAACAGTCTTATACTGCCATCCGGTGGTCGAAATAAAGGTACTACATGCAAAACCAATTAATCATTTCTTCTTAAATTCGACAATAATTACTAATTATTGTCAAATTTCAAACTATATTATCGTTTATCGCAATAATTTCTGAGACAATCGCACAGCAAAATTTGTTATCATGACAGGCCTACTTGAAATAAAAAGTTGCAAATAAATTTGTTGGAAAAATTATTTGAGCATACAGCAATAAGAAAAAAAACTACATGAACAACAAAGGTCAACATCTGTCTCTATGTTTGTTAAAATAGAGGGGGAAGGACATAAAATTTATCGTGGGACCAGCCGACAAGGAAGGTTGGTCCCATTCTGGCTTCATCTTCTGGGTTCTGGTATAAAGTCTAGACTTGGAATCAAGCTAACCGAAGTGGGTTAACGCCGTTTCAAAACAACTTTAATCTCCAAGTTTCATAACGGTTCATGCGATCACCATTTTATAAACCTTAATGTTTCTGTCAATTTCACATTACATGGTTATTTACAAGTGCAAATAGTGATGGCAGCAGCTAGTTGTAGCACTTCCTGTGTGGCCTGGTGCACTTAATGTAATGGCATTTGCATGAACAGCTATGAAATGTTTGTGACTGGAGTTGCTCAGTCTTGGTCCTGCTCAGGTTAGTTGTCTATTTAGTCAGAATAAAACTTTTATTCCTCCAAACTGAAATCAATCAGCCATCTGCAATGGGTAATATTTGTTTATACTAGTTAAAACATTTGTCAAAACATCTAAACTATCACTTCTGGGCTTTCATCTAATGTTTAAAAACATATTAAAGACAGCTCTTATGGACACAAAAACAAAATGATATCTGGTAAAAAAATAATAATAATAAGTTTGTTGATTAGGAAGGAAAACAAGAAATTCCTTTATTAAAGTTAAATAGCTGTTTTAATGTAAAACGTTAATTCAATTAATTACGTGATTCAACCGTTTCCATAGCAACAAACTAAAACAAAAACAGACAAGGGGCCCCCTAAAATACTCTGTTGTTCCCTCTTTGGGGCTTGCTGACCCATATTTGTGATGTGAAAGCAAAAAGGTTAAATACTGCATACTGAGTCTCAGCCACCTTTAATACCCGCCCCCCAGCCCCACTCCACACACACACAAAAAGCAACACCACTTGAAGTAGCATCCATATTTATGGCATCTTCCCCACCCTCCCATAAAGAGAACATGGCAGAAGTTTCTGAATGTCAGTGGGTGAGAATTTGCTTCACATTTCCAAAATGCCATGGCATTTGGACAGCTTGCACCAGTAAGAGGCTGAGAGGAGGGGAGGCGAGAAAGGGAAGGACTCGGGTTAAACACGGGGGATAGAAAAGAGGGTTTAGACATCATGGTGGCTAATTGCTATGTTAAAGGAATAGCCTGGTCATTTCAGAAGTGATGTTCGGTCAAATAGAAATAGTACCTTATGAACTGTGACATCAGTCATAGAGCTCCAAGTGTGGCGAAAAGGGCAAACATCAGGCTTGGCTAATGGCTAGCCAAACAAAGGCACTAGTGTTGACTGTTTTTCAGGCTTATAACACTCAAAACAACATATCCGTGTGAAAGAACGAAAATCTTAAACCTATACACTTTTGCATGACATTGTTTCTTTAGTTTGTTCCTTTTATCTCAACAGAACAGCGTCCATGTTACTATGCAAACATATGAGTGCAGTGAAGTAACAGTGTTATATCTTGTTGTTGGTGCTAATGCCTGATTAGCATCTAGTCAGTCCAAAAGTTTACTCAAATCTCAGCGAGCTGAGACATTCGCAGTCTTTGTACTATCAGCGTTTATACAGTAGTGCCTTGCTATTTCACTGTTCGACTTTGGCGGACTCGCTCTTTCGCAGTTTTTCAAAGTAAGGTTGGACATGACACACAATTGGCTGATTGATGCTCCTGGTAGGGTCTCCCGAGGCGGATTGTCCAGTTGCCAGACCAGACGAAGAGTGATTTAGAACACTCATACAACAGCAAGGAGCTCAAAGTCCCTCCCCTGGATATGGTTTACCAGAGCTCCATCCTGGAGCTGGGGGAGGAGCTCATTGGCAAGCACCTTGTAACCAGGCCTCCACTCATGGGGCTTTACCTGGTTCAGCCCAAAGGAGTTACATGGGTTTGCCTTCCTGTGGGCCCACCGCCTGCAAGAGGGGCCAAATGAGTCCAGTACATGATTCCATGGGTAGCAGCCAAAGGCGGGGGCCTTGGCACTCTGACTATAGCTTACCAAAGCTGGCTGGGAGACTAAGTTAGTTTTGGAAAACTTAGTAATTTAGTTTAGTCAACAAAGTAGTAAGCTCTGTAGTTTTAATGTTGATTTTACTTTTATGAGAATGTTTTATTGAATCTCTTAACTTTCACCTTCATCTGTTGGTTTGGACTTTTGACATGAAAAAACAGGAACAAACTCTCGGGGATTATAAGAATGTGCAGCAAAACAGCTGGCGTAGCCCTACAGAATCTCACTGACCTACACAAGGCGAGGTCGGTGAACAAGACCAGGCTGATTCTGGCAGATCCTGATCACCACTCCATGGTGAGTTCAGGTTACTTCCATCTGGACGCAGGTTTCTGCTGCCCAGATGTAGGACGAACAGACTGAAAAACTCATTCATCTCTGTAGCAATCAGGCTTCTCAACAAACAGTGATGATTTCTGTTACTTTAAAGTCTAAATGTCTTGTCTAGTATGGATGTTTTGTGTGCCTACTTAATGTGAAACTAATTGCCCCTTGGGGATAATAACAATCCTTGAACTTGAAGTAAGCTGAACAACTAGCATAAATAACACGTACCTGAATGAATAAAAGTACAGCACTCGACTGTGCCAAATTATAAACCTGTGTCAATGTATAACCACACTTTTATTACTGTTGGATAAATTATTCTTAATGCTTTGTAAAGCCCTAAATAACTGATTGTTAACAAATTAATCTATTATAAAAGGGCCTTTTTTGATGAGGTACTGGTTGGTTAATAGCTAATGCAGCGTTCTTTCACATCAGTATTTTTGTTTTGAGAAGAAGTTGTTTAATTAGTCTGAAAAGGAAGCTGGCTGCACATATTTCCACACTCACCTTTGAGTGGTATAGAAGCAGCACGGGTCGGGCGGAGCTCTGGCTGCAAGTTTTCATTCAGTGTGATGCTGTCCCGTGTTCCTGTAAGGCCAGGGCCAAGAAAAGACACAAAAAACACCCACCCTTGTTACCTTCACTCCCAAATAATGGTTGTAAAACAAAGCAGGTAGAGAGGAAAAGATGCCTTTTCAGACTCGATGGAATGGATGAAGCACATTCATGCATTGCGGCGCTCACAGGAAGAGGATTCGGCTCCCTGTCATCCGTCTTCATTAGTGATGGCTGCACGCCTCTTAGGCCGACACCATATGCTACTTATAGGAGACGGTACGCCATAAACCAAACGTTATAAATATAAACACAGTATAGGCATGCAGACAAGGCGTACTAACACAGCAGCATGTAAAGGAGAGCGCGGCTCTCACCTCCACAGAAACTCTGAACTCGACATATTTTTCTGATTATTCAGGTGTGCGGCACAAAAAGCCGAACAGGGGAAGAAATATGGATGAATGAGCGACACGATACGAGTCATGAATGGCGGATGGGGAACATATTGTTCTGAAGGCGGTCCGTATTGTGGATTCTCTGTGTGCTCTGATGTGAAAACGGCGAACGAGCGGGAGGTCGGAGCTGTCAACATTCTGAGGTTTCGATATTCCACATGGGTGAGTAAAAAAGGGCAAAAACGTCGTTTAAAATAGTTGCTATTTGGAACCATTTTATTGAAAGAATCCACAAAAAAATTCAAAGAAACTCAATGCAATACTTTTCGTCTCGTCCAAAACACTTTAGATTAGATCCTTTGTTAATTAGTCTTCAATTCCAAACATTCAGTCTGCGAAAAAGACCAACACGTCTTGTTTGAGATAAGCCAAAGTAACCAGAGGGAAGACATTATTTAAATATGTTGCATACTAAAATAAATAAATACTGGAAGAAAAGCCTGGTCAGCAAACAAGGCATTTCAGGCGGTTCGGTAGTGAGGCCTTCTGAGGGAGAGACGATCCCAATTATCTGTCCAGTTTGGGTTTTTGTTATGCACAGACCCAAAAGGCACAATAATACCTTTGAAAGAGGCTTCTAATGGGATAAAATGTAAATTACAGCCATCATTGGTTTAACATTTTTAGACCCATCCAATCTAGTTAAAAAACAAAACCCTAAGAGTTACATAAGAGAACAACTGCAAACTTTTCCAGACTTCTGGAAACTCCCTCACACCTTTGTCTACAATTTGGTGCAGATATTGGGTCTAAAGCAGCAAGTTTGGTTTAAAACTATGGATTTAAAAAAAAAACTTGGCGTCACCGACAGTACAGAAAACTACTACACATACAGTACGGGGACAAATCCAAGAGAAATGTTTGCATATGTCTAAAGGAGCACAGGAGTTTCTTTTCCAACTCTGAAATGTTTTCTTTAGCTAAAATGTCTGCCTCGTAACCAGAAAAGGTCTGTCAATAGACTTGAGCAGAGCTATAATAGTTCAGTCTATAACCCTCTGTCTATTTCAGCTCATGCTCACTACAACGGTTTGTTTCTTGTCGTATTCCATTTCAGCTCGCAGTCATTCAGGACGGGATTCGGCTGAACTAGAGGAGCCATCAGTCTCGTCTTAGTCTAACCCACTCCATCGATGTCACCGTTATTGTTTTCCGCTCGTTCTCATCCGTAGACGATGCAGTTGCCTCTAGAGTTCTCCGGGCTTCGGGTAGGCGAGCCAAGGCCCTGAATCCGATCCCGTTTGTCTTTAATATCCATCAGCCCCATCCTGCGATCACATCGAGGCCGCAGACGCTCGCATCTTTCTCTATATCTTTGTCTCCCTGACTGTGGTGGACAGCGAGCTTGTCAGGCACTCCGGGCCCCTCGCCTACAAATTCCCTAATAACGGCACATTCACCTAAATGTGTTTGTAATGTGGGCAATCATTTTCAGTAATGGATGCTTGTCAGTTTTATGGCGGGGAGAATGACGGTCTCGTAACAGGGCACCTCCATCCAGATGCAGCCCACCCCACCTATTCGGTTGGGTTAATAGGTGGTACAACACCATCCTCCAGTGGAGAAAAGAGGGAATTATTCTCCACGTGACGACTTTCTCCTGGTTTCACACCACCAGTACAATCTGAGATGCTACTTGTGATATTAATTGAAGAGTTAGTCAATATTTTGGTTTTTGTTTGTTTGCAAGAAAGGGGTTTGTTTCAGCTCTCAACATGACTTTAGTGTAAAACTCTTGCATGAAAGTGAGCAATACGCCTTTAGGCCTTTAATTGCTGTCTAATTTTAAGACTACACTTGTGTTTCCTTTTTGTTAAATCCTATAGTTAGGGTTGGCTTGGGTTTCATGAGCTGTGTATCCCTTAACTATGCTACTATAGGCTTAGACTGCTGGAGGACAAAGTGACCACATCTCATGCTGTTGCTGTCTTTACTCACTCTGCTGTTCATGTTTGTATTTGTAATTATTTTTAACATTAACGTGTTTTTATTTGTCTTTCTCCCCATAGAAACCACAGCTGGACCAGCCATTTTGTGTCTGTCTGCGTCTCTTTCCTGTCCACTCTTTCCCCAGCCAGTCAAGGCAGATGGCCACCCATCCTGAGCATGGAGGTATAAGCATGGAGCTGGAGGTAATTTCCTGTTAAAAGGAGAGTTTTACTTTTCCACCATCACCTGGGAAGTTGTGATGAAATATATTTGACATGATCTGCTGGTTTCCTTAGATACTGGTCTCGTTAACGTACGTGAATGTTTCTTGTACCCATTTGCTGTGAATTGGTGCTATATAAATAAACTGAATGAATTATACTTATGAATGTGTTAAATCTCACAGGCTTCACATTTCAAATTTCAAACATTATCTTGCTGACTCTGATCATCTTTTTGGAACGGGCCGTCTGGACCAAAGTGATGGGTGAGAGGTGTTTTGGCACTCAGGTGGTATCATGAACAAACACATGAGCTGGTGGTCAATGGAGTTGACACATGGTGAAAAGGTGGGCACGAGGTGGCATGTTTTCTGGGTGTCTGCCCAGATTTGTTCTGGCATGACGGAGAGGAGGGCATGGAGGGGCTAAGTGGGGCAGAAGGAATACATACTCCCAATTCCCACAGATACGTGGTAGGTCAAGCCTGAGACGCAGCCGGAGAGGAGACAGAGAGAAACACTGATGTAAATACAAAACGTTGCTCTGGTAAGATCAATAAAAAGAAGGGGAAAGGTAAAAACGTATAAAGCAGTTGTTGAGGTTAAACAATTATAAAAAATAATAGTGAATGTTTAGGAAGCATTCACGCTATTGTGATTCATTTTCCCTTTGTACGTTTTTCGGCGCGATTCTCGTCCAGCAATTTTTGCGCCATTTCAACAAATCATAAATCAAAACATTCAGCTCTTTCAGCATAATCCTATTATGACTTTTGGTATTGGTGCAACTTTAGCTTTTTAAATATTTGGCCTTTTCTGCCACTTTTTTCTCATAGAAAATGAACTGAGCTCATTTTACATCCTTCTGATCTTTAGATTTGTTTACAACCTTTTACTGCTCCTTTCACTTTTTGTTCTGGTTCAGCTTCTTTCAGCTGCCTTGTGCAATTTAAAAAAAAAAAAACAGCTATTTTCAGCTAATTTCAGCTGTTTTTTTCAGCCACTGTGCTCCTTTCACTTTCTTCAGCTGTTTTGTGCTCCTTTCAGATTCTTTCTGCTAACTACATTTTTGTGCTTCTTCTAACTTCTGCTAATTTCATCTTATGCTCCTTTCAGCTTATTTCTGCAAGTTTCAGCTTTTTCTGCTAATTTCAGCTTATGCTCCTTTCAACTTATTTCTGCAAGTTTCAGCTTTTTCTGTTATTTCAACTACTATACAGCTGTTTTATGCTAATTTAAGCTTTTTCAGTTAATTCCATATTTTTTGCACTCGTTTCAACATTTTTAAGCCTAATTTAGCAAAAATGTGCTCTCTACTTCCTCTGTGTAATTTCAGCTTCTTTCTGCCCTTTAGCTACTTTTCAACTGTTTTTAGCTAATTTCAGCTTTTTTTCAGATAATTTATTTTTTGTGCTCATTTCTGCTTCTTTCATCCTAATTAGGCAAACACGTTCTGTTTTCTTATACTAATTTAAGCTTGTACTACCTTTTCAGATACCTTTTTAGAATTGTTTTTAGCTAATTTCAGCTGTTTTCAGATAAATTCAAGTTTTCATGGTAATTTCTGCCACTTTCAGTTTAATTAACTTCTTTCTGCTAATTTTAGCTCATTATGCTCCTTTCAGCTTTGTTCTGCTAGTTTCAGCTTTTTCTGCTCTTTCAGCTACTATTTAGCTGTTTTTATTTAAAAACTTTTTTTTTTTTAGCTTTTTCAGCCAATTCCACATCTTTTTAGCTCATTTCAGCTCTTTCCACTTCCTTCTTGTAGGTTAAGTTTCTTTCTGCCCTTTTGGCATTTTTTATGTTTTTTATTTTTGTTGCTAATTTTAGCCTTTTTTAGATGAATTCCTATTTTTTGTTTTCATTTTTGCTTACTTAAACCCAATTCAGCAAATATGTGTCCTTTCTGCTTTCTTCTTATAATTTAGGCTTGTTCTTTCATTTCAGCTACATTTCAGCATGTTTTCTTTAAGCTAATTTCGGCTGTTTTTCAGCAAGTTCTTCTGCAACAACATTGCATTTTTGCAGGAAATGCAATTTCTCTAGTTTTAATTTGTTTTTGTTTCTAAAAAGACACAATAAATCTAACTCATTGTTAAACGTGTGGTGTTGACGATACCTGAACATTTATTTATTATTTATTTGTTTGCATACACACAAGACAGGCATGACGATGTCAGCCACAACATTATGACAGATAAAACAAAAGTCACATGGACTGGTTTGTTACAATGCTGGGAGCACATCCATCCTGGCGTACAGAAATCATATTTTCATGATTTTTTTTATTTTATTTTGAAAGAACATTGTCATTAGCAGGATCCTTAAAGGAATAAGAAGACCGGTATAGCCACAAGATGGATTTGGGTGAAAACAAATCTTTTTCTAGTCTTTTTATTCAATCAACACAATTTTAGGAGAACTAAGGTATAATTATTCTACTTTGTCAACAGAGATGTTATTTTGCCAAGCGCAGAACGGTGACACCCTGACATGCCAACACCAGTCCTCTACTACTCTAGACTGCTGTTATACACTCGGCAGGACAGCAGTAGGGAAAACTGATAAGGAAGTTCACGACAAAGAGTCAGACGGGTTTGCTTGTCCTTAGAGCTCATTAAATTCTGATTTGACGTTGTGTGATCTATCAATAAACCCAAGACACAAACCCTCACTTCCCTAAAGTTTCTACTTCTGTCTCAGCATCAGAAACTCTGCAACACGCCCAGATGTTCTTTCTTTAGGTCTTGACAAGTCAGAACTAAAGTCTTTACCATCAAATATCTCTTAGTATCTGATCTCCATGGCATCCTAATAACTTTGTGTCAGGTCTTGGATATAAAAGCATGCCCACACATACAAACTTTGGGAGTTGGTAACTTTTTTTTCTTACTGATTAAACTCTACAAATGAAACATCATCGTCCAGCCTCCACAGTTTCACTTTAAAACTAAACCTGATTAAAACGCATCATCCTGCTGCGTGGCACTTGTGAAATCAGCCGACTGATTACAGTGTTGCTGGTATGATGCTTACACACATAAAGCCGTTTCAGATCTATGACTACTTGTGTAATCAGCTCAGAAACATATTAATGCATCAAATCTGGACCTCCCATTTTTATTTTGGCATTTCCACACAAAGGTGCACCATTACTTCACATCTTTAAGGGAACGGTTTAAAACAATCTGCTCATATAATCCGTTTCCTGGTTGAACAATTTCAAATGGAGCCTAGAGTCAAACTTCAATAATAGCTCATTTTAATTTGAAAAACAGTTAACGTGGGTATTAAAAGCTCATATGTCCATTGTCGCACCTGCCGTGTTGACAGATCTGACGGGTTAGTCCCTGCTGCTTCAGGAGTGAGAACAGTTGTGTTTGCTTATGGGGTGGGAAAGATTACACTCGGTCAAAGCTTCTGAGAGTGGACAGAAGACGAGCTGGAACTAATGTAAACTAAATAAAATGAGGGGAAATTATTCATTATGCTAAATATTTTAATATAATTACAACAATAAAAAAAAATATTTATTAACAACCGTAAATTTTAATTATCAATAACAAGAAGATTGTTTCAGGTTTTAGTAATAAAAATGTAATACAATAGTTTTTTTTGTTTTATTTGTTACCCACCTGGTAGACTCCATAATCCTGACACCTCCAAGGTTTTCAGCTTCCTTTCTAAATCTGCAACTCTGTTTCCCAGAATCCTGCAGAGCAGACACACGAGGTCAGCTTTGTTCACACTGATGTTTGTATTTCAGTGTTTGCCTTTTAGGAGCAGGATTCTTGTAACGATTATTCAAGGTCCTCTCAGAAGGCCACGAACAATTAACATCTCATCTGTTGCAGATGGCTCTTTGAACAACCTCAGTTTGTTAAAAAAAAAATAAATAAATAAATAAAGGTTTACTTCTAACTGGACTGATGAGTCCAAACGGGACAAAAACAAGGTTGCCCTAGCACAACTCCAATCTCTTAGATTTCTTAGCCACTCATGCTAAATTTATTTTATGATACTTTACATTTGTCGATTTTTGCCTTACATGGTCATTTCGAGAAAATACTTTTGCCAGAACCAATAGCAGCAGCAGCTAGCTGTTGAACTTTTTGTGCAGCCTGGGGCACTTCTGACAAGAATATCCTTATAATGTAAAGAAATTCTAGAATTGCGCCGGTCAAGGTGGCTGCATGTTGGAGCAGCTCTGTTACTTTCATTCTGAGATTTTGCTTTTGGAAACTTTAATTCCTGGTTTTCTGGATGTAAATCGTATTTTTTGGATGATTGTTTCCTCTGGTATCAGATGCTGTGCAGCTGGAAGGATTTTTACTGAAACTTTTTAAGTTTTGGACATTTGTTATGATGCGTAACCATGGCAACAAGGCTGTTTTCTACAACAACAGCAGCTGATTAACATCTTAAAAGCTCAAATAATATCTCAACTATGGCACCAACTCTCAAATGAGTTGAAAAGAATGTTATGTGGACGCATTCTCATCTACCTGCCAGCTGTGCTCGAGTGCCTGACCACTGAGATCCTGGAACTAGCAGGAAACACGGCTCACGACAGCGGAAGGACAGGATCATCCCTCAGCACCTACAGTTGACTGTCCACAGCTATGAGGAGCTCGGCAGACTGCTGGGAGGAGTGGCCATCGCTCTGGGAGGAGTTCAGCCCAGCATTCAAGCGGTCTTACAGTCCAGGGGAACTGAGAGGACAGCCGAGTCTGGGTGGACGGATCGGACGGCATCTGCAGCCAGTTTCTTAGGATCCACTGTGGGATGGACCTTTACAAGAGATCCTTCCTGTCTACAGCCATCAGTATCTATAACATCTCTTAATGAAATGAGGATAACGAGTTACAACAACAAAATAATTTCCCTTTGGGATTAATAAAGTATTTTTGAATTGAATTGAATTGAAATACTGTGATAATGCAATAATAATAATAAAGTTAATGTGTGTACTTCAAAACTGATGGCAGTGTAAAAGTTTATTTACAGTGAAATGTTTGAGCTTGGAGCTCTTTTCTAGCAGCAACAATCCACTTTGATCTCGCCCTCGCTTGGCTGTAGGCTTATCAGTCCAGTCAGAATTTAGTTCAAAAGCTACCTAAAACAGGTAAGATACTGTTTATACCCGGTCCACAAAAACCAGCTTCAAATGATCCAAACTATCCCTGTAAAAAGTAGGTGTTATAAAACTGCTTGATGCAGTCCATGGGGGAGCAGGTGGGGCTTTTTTTTTTTACCTGTTGGTATGCCTTTGGTGCTGGATTACCAGGTTCTTCTCATGGATGGTCTCCAGCAGAGCAGTAGCCAGCGACTTGAGGTCTGAGATGGACTGAGGAGTGGCAGGCAGGCTGCAGCCCTGCTCCTCCAGGAGCATCTCCTGGACTGAGATTTTTATTTTGGAGGAAAGAACAATAGGGTGGGAACAAATAAAAGTGGATTGTTAAAAAAAAATAAAGCCACAATCTCCCAAAAAGACAACAAAACGTATAAATACAGTTAAAAATAGATATCAGGGTGACAGAGTTAGAAAGGGGAGCAGCATGACAGGAGTACGACAGAGATGGAGTGTTGGAAGCAGCTGTCTACTAGGTGACACTCTCCTAACTTTAACTCCAGAAACCCACTGTGCTGCTTCTGCCAGGGACTGTCAGTCATCATGGCAGCCTCATTTCCCTGCCAGTGGTGCTCTCCACCACCGAGAACACAATTAAAAACACAGCTGGTGTCCCTGTGGTGGCTGAAAGTTCGGAAAAAAATATATAAATAAGCTACAAAATAACTTAGTATAAGGCAGTTCAAGACAAATAAACTTGTCTGTTTTACTGAAAACAGGTTTTTTTTTTTATCAAAACAGAGTTTCCTACAGATTTGAGTGAAAATGCTCTTTCAAGTTTAACGAGGATTTAAAGTGAGCTCAACAGTTTGTGTTTCCACCTTGTTTGGCTGACAGCACTCCAGTAAGAGGACAGGTGTTTGATCTCCCATACGTGCCCGAGTTCTTCCTCCTCTCCAGGGCCGTCTGTGGAGGGAAGAAGAAGGTGAGCTTGATGAAGGCTCTGAGCAGAGAAAGTGCTTTTCATCAAAACATGAACGGTTTTGAAAGTTCCCCCAAAGTTCGAGTCCAGCGTGTAGTTTCAGAGCTGCACCTTTAACACTTCGTGTTTACCTTGTACTTCATGATGTTTGATTTCAGCAGGCTCACCTCCTCCTGCAGCTGAATAAGGCGCTCGTGCAAATACCTACAGTCATAAAGAGTCGAAATAAAACCAGTGACAAAACGCAAATAAGACGCACTTAATACGCAAAACATGACCATTTGTTTAAAATAGAAGTCCTGAATTTAGTACAAAGAAAACGGAGAAAAATCGAGCATAGGCAAAATAAAGACGGGATTTTACTGATACGTAGTAAATCTACGTACATCAGTAGAAAAAACATTTAACAATAAACGGTTGCTTAGCACAAAAATAAAATGAGCTCTGGTTCAAGTTCCAATCATATATTTTCAAAAATTTAAAGCTTGAACCTTTTTTTGGCAAATCTTACAGAAAAGTACACAGATCATAATTTAGTATGTATTAAACTATAATAATGTAGATTATATGTTTTATTTAAATACTTTGTCCAAAAATTAGGTCATTGGTGCTTATTTCTTTATTTAATGGTAATTAATCTTATACCATTGAAAAGTCTGTATTTCCATTAAATGGAACCAAATGTGCAGCTAAAATGTATTTGTGTATTGCACCCCTGAAAAACCAGTTAACTGCCAAACAGCTTATTCTGCTACTGACTCGTGTTTGGTGTCATTCATTGGACCGGATGACTGAATTCTGGGGAAAATTAAATAAAATACTGGAAATTTAACAATATGTTCATTTGACTATTAGGGGCCTCAGTAGCATGTGGAAGAACCATACACAGCCACAACAGCCTGGCACTACCTTGCCAAGCTGCTTAAGGGCTTGGTCACACATTCCTGTGGGATGGCATCCCATTTTCCAACCAGCGTTAGTCGAACTTAACCAGTGTGGATGGGTTGGTCAACTTGGAACACCACACCGAGCTGATCCCACAGACGTTCAAAAGGTTTAGTTAATGCAGATATGTTTTGAAAACCATTTTAGACAAGAGTTTTTAAAAAAATGTTAAAAGAGCAAATTTACCGGTCTGCCAGAAGTTTTGCAAATACTGCGTGTATTTAAATCTAAACGTCTTCAATACTCTACGTTTGTCTAATTCCTCTATACAGCAGTCCCTCGCTACTTCACGGTTCAACTTTTGCAAACTCACTCTTACGCGGTTTTTCACAGTGCAGTACTGTAAGATTGTACACGACAAAAAACAAAATAAAATTTTAAAAAGCGTCACCGGTTTGTAGTTTTCTCTCAATAAGCTTATACTGTATCGTCAGACTAAAGGACTACATTGCCCAGAATGCAAAGTTGCTTTCTGCTGGAGGGAAAGTTTTTGATTTGATCCGAAAAAGTTTGGTCCTTGCAGTATTCAAAGTGACTTTGGCGCTCAGTGGATGCAGAGAGCCGATCAGAACCGGACCAGGGCTGGGTAGCTCTGCCGAACCGGAACTGGGCCGGACTGGAACCGAGCTGCAGAGCTGGTGAGTAAAAAGGCATTTATACTCACTCAAGTTGAAATTTTAAGTTGAGTGAGTAAACATGATCCAGTTATCTTTTAATAAACTCTTGCTAAATAAACGTGTGCTTTAGCTTAGTTGATTTAAATTTATTAGTTGATTGAACTGTTTTTGTTTGTAGTTTCAACTCAGAAATCCATGTCATTTCTACTTCGCAGATTTTCACTTATTGCGGGGGGTCTGGAACATAACCCCCGCGATATTTGTTTACTTAGGTTAGCTTAAATGTAAGTTAATCACAGCACTTATATAGTTCGGATAACCCTTCCTTCTGTTTGATTTGATGGTTTGCAATGAATACCTTTGTTAGATTGAGCCAAGAGTTGCTATATTAGGAGACAAACGGTGGATTTTCATGACTTTCAGACCTAAAACTCAGTCCGTGTGAAAATTTACAAAAACATGTGACAAGCTTCTGCGCGTAAAACCTTGAAAGCCACATAAGCAAACATCGATGCGCTCGCTTTAATGAGGACCACCCCACGAAATAAAGACCTTGAGTTTTCTGTCTCATAAAGAAGTGATTCATTAGAGTAAAAGAAAAAATCAACTTGTTAATATTCAACTAATGTCACCTCAAATTAGAGCCCACGTCAAAGTTTGAGCAGCAGAAACATCAGAGGAAATCTGACTTTCTTGCTACAAAGAAAAACCACCAAGACAAGGTGAATTTATTGACTCGATAACTGAATGGAACCAAGTGAAAAGCTACACTTTAGTTCCCGTTTCTGAATCCAGCCGTTGTGCCTTTCTGGGATGCAGCAAAGCTGAACTGAGGATGGTTTCTTTATGAAGCATGGAAGAGGGAGTACAATGGACTGGGACTTCCAGGCAACACTGAAGAAGACTTAGACATTACTGAGGCCACCATTTAACAAGTAAAACAAAACAACACTACATTCATCTGTAATATTTGATCTGTAATTAGTGGCTGTAAATTTTGTGTTTTACATTTTTATTTTACATTTTTTTGAAAACTCCATTTAATGTAGTTTTAAATGAACCAATCAATTTAAATGTGTGTTCTGAAGTCAGTACCGCTGTTCAAATTGTACTGTAAATATATCATGAAACCAATGAAAAGCCTTTATGCATAGATATTTTCGTATGTTTGACTGTTGAATAGCATGAAGTAACACTTGCAGAACAACTTAAAGGGAAACACAGTTTCCCTAAAAGCAAATAAAGAGGCAGTAATAAACCATATTCAAAAAGTGTGCCCAATAACAGAGGTTCGGGATTAAACCCAGTCGTCCACTCACCTGTTTTCCATGCAAAGTGCGTCCACGTCAATGATGCGTGACTCGTGGTTCCCTAAAATGTGATTAAGTTCAACGTTTAGTCGGTCGGCCTTCTCCCTGAACACGCTGCGTTCTGCCTTCACGTCCTGCAGCTCGTCTGTCAGGGCTTTTATGGTGTGCTCCATCTCCTCCATCTACAGACAACAGGCATAAATATAAAAATATATGGATAAAAATATACTTACAAATAAAGGAGCCACACACGGACACGAGAAGACTTTTTTCAACCCAGTTTACTTGCAAGGGCACGAAACAGGCTTTTACAGATGTTCAGAGTTAGATGCTTAGAGCCTCTTCATGAGAAGCTGCACCGGACAGTGTGCAGGAAGTAGGGCTGAATAATTGTGAAAAATATTCTAATTGCGACTTTTTTTTTTTTTACCTCAATATTGCAATTTAATATGCGATTATTTTTCAATGAACACAAGCAATAAATCTGTTTCCGTTGCAAAAAAGTCCACTGTTTTCAGCTCCGCTGCAACTCTGCTTCTACATTTTTTGTATACCTCCAGGATAGCAACTTAGCTAAAATATATGTGCGCGAGGGCATTCTGTACCACTTATCCATTGCGTTTACCAAAGCCGTAAGCCCAGGCTTGGTCACTGTATTAATGGGCATGATGTCCTTCGCTATGAACTCTGTTATTGCTCGAGTTATTTCCATGTACCGTTTTGAATTATGTTCATACGGAGTAATACTTTCGAACAGTTGGGTCAGTGATCCCTGTCGGCTGGTACTTTGCTTACTTTAAGGTGAAGCACTGGTCGTTGGCATTTTAGCCATGCATCTATCGTAAACGGCTTTGTGGTGTTTTTTTAAGTGTTGATAAAGATTTGCGGTGTTACCTCGAGAGGTATCAACAACAGCAAGGCAGGTTCTGCACAATACATGTCGTTGTGCATCATCTTCTTTTTTATAGCCACAATAATTCCAAACAACGGACGTGCTGCCCCTCTTTGGTACCAAACTTTCAGATGTATCAGCTTCTGTCGAGCCTGACGCCATTGTGCAACCGGTTAAAGCGCAGTGTTGACTTCTCCCGCTCCCTGCTCCGCTTTGTTCCGCTCACTCGCAAGTCACGTAACCAGATCATATGACCAGTCAAATTGCAGCGTTCGCAATTAGAAAATCTCATTTTATCATATTGCGATATTATTGCAAATGCAATTAACTGTTCAGCTCTAGCAGGAAGTGTTTTTTATACATTCTTGTCAGCACGATGACCTCGACCTCTCGGCACAGACTCGGAGGTGACCTTGGAGTAGCAGTTGCACATGCAGTGTCAAAGGAGCTCCTCATTCAGCTCTCTCTGCTAACTCAAACACACGGTTTGTGGGCAGTTATCATTAGTTAGTGACAAACATCCTTGACCTTTACCAAAATTCCCCTTACAGTAATTTTAAGAGAAAATTCTGATCTTGTAACAGAGATATTTAAAGCTTTGATTGTTAACGAACAGTTTACTAATACTAGTGAAATGGTGGATATTTTGCTTCATATCAGCAAACATCCATTAATAATCATCTAAATGTCTATTCTATATGTATATATTGTTTCTTTGTACACAATCAGTTTTACAAGCTATAAACAACGTTGAGACCAACACATCTCTTCCATTTTCTTTTAAAATATTCTTATTTTCAGCCAAAACATATATTTTCCCTAATCCTGCTAATAAATATATTACTAACAAAATTGATTTTTATCCTGCTATTTAGGTTCCAGTCAAAAAGCCAGCAACGGTATTTTAACACAGTTTACACAGTAAAGAACTGGTGACTGTGCGCATCATGTTCATCACTACATACAACACTAGAGCCAGGCTGCTGTAGCTCAGTGGTTAAGTGCTGCAGCCTTGTAATTCTGGGGCTGCTGGTTTGAGCCCAGGTTGTCTCAGGAAGGACATCCGGCATAAAACAATGGTTAAATCATTCATGTGCGTTCACTGACTGTAGCAACCCCTGCAGAAGGGAGCAGCTGAAAAAACTTACTATGAAGCAACAAAGTTCAGTCAGGTCATCCGGACAGTTTTTTTTTTTTTTTTAAGACATTTTGTCCTTCATCCAAAGGACTTCATCAGTCCAAGGAACCACAAACAAACAGCACACTCCCATAGTGGAATATTTCCAGTTTTCAATTGTTTTTTTTGTTTTTCCCCACTATGGGAGTGTGATGCTTGTGAGACTCAGTTTGTCTGTGGCTCCTCAGACTCATGAAGTCATTTGGATGAAGGACGAAACGTCTCAGCAAAAAAACAAAAAAAGAAACCGTCTAGATGACCTGACTGAACAGTGTTGGATTTTATACCTGGATTATTGAGCATGAACTTTGATGTTACTATGAAGCAACTGAGGTTTCAAGAGCAGAGGAACTTAACTTAATCCTGTTTTTTCAGGTTCAACGTTTTCATAGAGAGTTAATTTTGAGGTTCAACAACGGGTTTTAATTCTTCAATATAAGACAATGACAAACGTAGAACGTTATTTTGCCTTGGACTCACTCAGTGTCACACTGAAAATAAACCTCTAGCTGAAATTAATTTTTAATCTAAAGTGTCTGCAGCTGCACTCGGCACAATTTAAACGTTAGATGTAGCATCTCTAAAGACACTGCGAATCAAACGGGGTTAATAATTAACGAGGAATTTACAGTAAATGTCTGTAAACAGTCTTAAAGGGTTTTCAGTTAAGGAAAAAACATTAACCTGTCGCCCTGCTCTCTCCAGCTGGGAAACAAGATCCTCACGCTCATGGGCGGGGAAGTGGCGTACCCCCACCTCTTCATCCCCCAGCCTCTGTCGAGTAATGGTCATCCTCAACAGCTGCGGAAAAGTCGAGGCCACACACTTCTTTTAGTATCCCGTACGGTGAATGTTTAAACTGCGTGTCTTATATGTGCTGCACCTTGTTATCTCCCTGAGCCTCAGCCAGCCTCTGAGTGAGGTCCTTCAGCTCCTCTGTGAGCCGTTTCATTCGTTCCCTGGAGTCCCTGAGCAGCTGACCCAGGTTCACCTGACGAGAAGGCAGACGAAACAAGAAAATGCTCAAACTTCCCCAGTGCACACATTCAGTTAGGACCCCACTTCTTGGTTTATCAGATCAAGCTACAGGAATATAGCGTGACGTGTTTTAAGGGCAACAAAATCAGATGCATTTACATAAAAATTTAAAACATTTTGTATATAAAACATAAATAAATAAGAAGTTTCCTTTTTATAATGTTATTCAGCAGCTAACTATATAGTTGGACAGTTGTAATTGTCACAATGTCCTTGAATGCAGCACAAAGACTTTTATGCCATCCTGATAAATCAAGCCCTTTATGATGTTCCATCATATGTTCATTAATTTTGTGATATAACCCAAGTATACACAATCAGGAAGTCTACATCTACCAGTCCTTAAACTAAAAGTATGGTATTAAAAAAAACTATACAACTTACTTGATTGCGTTTTTCTGGTGGCAAAGAGGGGTCACCATCCTAGAACATAAATGTATAAATTTATTATCTAGGTAATACTTGTAAACGTAATTTTATGCATTACTAATACCAAGAGTTTGAAAACAAAGAGACGGGACTTTTGTTCAGTTAGTTGAAGTCGTTTGACTTCCCCTCAGGGAAACTTTGAATTTTAACCCTTTCATGCATGAATTATGATAACTTCATCCTGGATTTTTTTTAAATATTTTTTTAAGTGTTTTGATTTTAGCGTTGTTGTGCTTAACTGACCAGAAAACTCATCTGACCTGAACCTAAAGAAGCTACATGTTATTGTCAGGAGGAAGGTGAGAGACACCAGACCCAACAATGCAGATGACCTGAAGACCACTATAAAGCGACTTGGGCTCAGCAGTGCCATGGGCTCATCATCTCCATGCCACGCCTCATTGATGCAGTAATTCGTGAAAAAAGAAGCCAAGTTTTGAGTGCATAGAAATTAACATAATTTTCAGAGGCCTGACAATTATGAGTGTTTAAAGTATTTTGTTTTTCATTGCTCTTATGTAATATTCTAATTTTCTGAGGCACCGAGTTTTGGTTTTTCATTATTTCTAAGACAATCACAAATTTACAAGAAAGAAAGGCTTGAAATATTTCACCCTATGTGTGGATCTATGCAAAACCTATATAATTTATAAGTTTCCCTTTCTGAAGTGTTTGACAAAAGAAATAAAACCTTTTCACAATATTTTATTTTTTTGAGATGTACCTGTATATGTGCGTTACCATTCTGTTACATTCTGCAAAAAAATATATATAACTGACATAGAAACTAAAAAAAAATGGTGACCAAACACTAAGCCTTGAGGAACACCACATTTAATCTTTTCTTGCTGTGATTCATTATTAAACTGCAAATTGTTTTCTGTTGGTTGACCTCAAAAAAATAAATCTTTTTTTTTCCTCTCAAGAATGGAGGTTTGAGTCACTCACTATGAGTTCTCTGTACTTCTTCTTGAGTCCCTGGTGGCGTTCTCTCAGCTGGTTGGCCATCAACTTGTACTGGTCTCTCTCCTGCTGACAGCTATCCAGCTCTTTAGACAGGATGAGAAGTGCCTCCTTCTTACTCTCCAGTTTACGCTTGCACACCAGGAACTACACCAGACAGGGCAACACAGCATGGAAGTTACAAAATTGTCATGAACAGAGATGTTTGAAAGTCTTAATGTTAAGAAGTGTATAGTTAACTGTGTGGTATTAACAGTGACTAATCAGAGCAAAGCCCTAAATGAGGTAAATGAGCACCAGTATCAAGGCTTTTTTTTATTTTTTATTATTAAAACTTATGACTCATTTGAAGAAAGTGTCTAAAACTAATACCAATTGCTTTTATATCGTTATATCATGCTTGACTGCCAAGTTTGTCAAGTTACATTTGCATGCTAGGAATCTGTCGCACCTATTCCTTTGTGTAAATATTTGGCGGCAACTTCGGTGGGAGAAATAATTGCTCCCCTTCTGATTTTGTAAAGTCGTCTACCTACAAAGAACAAAACAGTCTGTTTCAAGGTAGTTCCATTGGAATATAGAGAAACGGAACATTAAGCAAAAGTTTAAAAGGAGCACATTGTATAAAAATTACAAATTGATTTGCAAAACAATAAAGTAAAAAATATTTAAACCCTGTAATCCAGACAGAATTCTAGTTCCCACAGATTGGTTTTGTGCCCATATGATACACAGATAACTAACTAATGAATCCTGATCTCAGGTTATATGTATAAATCTGTCCGTAGATTAACTTTTCTTCCATTCCAACCCCTCCACCACGAGCAGGACCATGGGTTAGGGTTTTGGGTTTGGTTCTGTTTATTGCATTCATGATTCAATGCAACAAAATAAACATATTTAACAGGTCCATTGTAATACTTGGTTTATTTACATGATAAATGTAATTGCTGGATGTCCGGCCCCTGAGCTGCTGGCTTTCAGAAACTGTGGCCCCTGAGCAGTTTAGTTGAATAGCCCTGCTCTAAGAGTATGACATATCATTTGTAAACTGGCTCGAGCCAATATATTTGTTAGTTTAAATATGTAAAAAAATAAAAAAAATAAAAAAAACACCACATACTTGCTTTTTGGAGTCAGTCTAGTTCTGGAAACACGACGACGTCAGGAAAATATTTGACGTTTCTGAATCTGAAAGCTTTTGATGTCATTTTCCAAGAAGTTTCATTTAGACTTACGTTTCATTTAGGTTTTCATCAACTTTTTTAAAAAGTAGTTTTGTTTTCAATTAAGCATATTGAGGGCCGGATAAAGATTGTCCAAGGGCCACTTTTGGGCCCCCGGGCCATATATTGCCCACCTTTGTTTGTAGATGATCTTTGCAGACCATTCCAGTCTTGTACTGTTCATTATTTTGTCCCTGACATCTTTTAACAGCTCTCTGATGTTGTCCATGACAGTCAATCATCACTTTGATAACAGAGGTGCTGCTAAGGAGTGTCTGAAATTGATTGTCACCTTTCAATTTCAGACACACAGGTGGGACCACTTATAAAAAATTCAGACTTTATTTCTATACAAGTGGGCTAATAAATTATTCCTAAACATTAAATTAAAGGTTGTATATGTTCTATTGCTAACAACTTCAGCATCCAACATTACATGGCAACTCAGAAATACAGGTGTATTATTGTCTTATGTCCTACAGGTTCTTCAGAAAGCTTCTATATTTCAATAAGCAGGTGGGCCCACAGGTCGGCAAAACATCCTTTCCCCACCTGTGAGGTGTTGCTGGCTTTTAAGCATAGCCGTAAAAAGGAAGAAGTAGAGATATTGATCAAAGCAGTTAATTTGATATCAGTCCGTTTAAAAAAAGACGCCGACGCTGCTGGTTCCATATGGAGCCCGGGAGCATCTACAAAACCTGTCCGTGCCTCCAGCAGCGGTTTACGGTCGCCGTCTCCCCACTTACCTCGCTCACTAGTCCCTGCCAGTCGCTCTCACTCCTCTTGGAAGACTGCATTATTAAAATAACATTAACGGAACCGTCCGGACACAGGCTGAACCGAGCTGCCTCGCCTCCGGCGTTTGTTTATCTTTAACGTCACTTAATTGTTCGGCTCAACTAACAAAATAAAACTACTTCCGGTATTACGAATACGATAATAAACTACTTCCGGTAACACAAATGTAACAAAATGACATTTGATAGCAGCTTTCCCGCTAACTACAGCAATACTTATATCTGTATATTAAACTAGGTAGCATAAAAATAACAACTAAGCACTCAAGCGCGAGAGAAAAACACAAAACGGAAGTGGGTGATTTCAAAATAAAGGTCTGCGTCTAGGAAAATATCTAAGGTAGCCAAAAACATTTAAAACAGCAGTTGTAGTGCATCTTTATAAAAATTTTAAAAAGTTCTTATATATTCATGTTCAAACAACTAAATACTATAGGCTTGTATTTACAGAAAACTGAGAACAGAAACATAAAAAAACTAAAGGTGATTTATTAGAATGATTATAAAATGAGGAAATAAATGTTACAGAAAATATAGCGTTGACAAGAAAAAAAAAATCATGTGGTTCAGTATTTTGTCTTGATATTGTTTACAGATTTGCATTTAATTTCACAACAATTTAAAAAAATCAAGTTTACATGAGTTTGCTATGACGTTTAAAGTAGCATTTTGCTTTACTTTCAACTTAATACTCCAAAACGTGTTTGATTTTTGAAAAATATTCGGGTACGGACCCGACCCCCCGGTATGCTCGAACAGAGTTCATCTCATAAGCTGGCAACATTTTTGGCAAATAAAACAGCGGATGAACACACTATTTATCTGAAATGCTTTGACAGGCAGTGAAGTAGGGTCAAAAACATGGCAAAATGCACCTCAAGAAACTAAAAGTCTGGAATAAGACACTTAAGATAAATACAAACAGGATTTCATTCATTTAGTTAATACATTGTTTCTATACTAAAATATTGTAGAAAGCTAAAAAAAATAAAAACATTTTAAATCCTACAATCAATCAATCAATCAACCTTTATTTATACAGGTAAATCCCATTGAGCCTCGAGGACTCATTTACAAGAGAGACCTGATTTCAACAAAGAAAGATGACAACAATGGACAACAGCAACAACAATAAGCAGTTATAAAAACTCATACTACAGTTTTTTTTTTTTTTTTTTTTTAACAAATAGGATGGCTAAAAGGAAAAAGGTAACAAAAACAAAAAAACAGCTAGATTCCAAGACAAATGTATAAAACTAAAAACAGGAACATGTCTGCATTGGTCCCTGCCAGGAGTCCAACAGATTCTTAAAGCCACTTAGAGAGGTCAAGGTCGAGAGCTTCAAATCTTTTTGTAAGATATTCCAGGAAACAGGAGCGGAGTAGAAGGTCCTTTTGCCTAGTTCAGTCCTCACTGAGGGAACACTGCAGGTAATAATGTCCTGAGAGCGCACTCCGTAGCTGCACTCACGCAGAGACATGTAGGAGGAGATGTATGAAGGTAGCAGACCAAGAAGTGATTTAAAGATGAAAATGTACCAGTGAGAGAGTCTGCGTGAAGTTAATGATGTCCAGTTAACCAATGAATACAGGGTGCAGTGGTGGGTACGATAATCACAGCCAGTTATGAATCTTAGTGCACCATGATAGACAGCATCCAACATCTGCAGGGTTCTTGTAGGAGCGTTCATGTAAATAATATCACCAAAATCAATTGAGGGAAGGAAAGTCACAGATACAAGGCGTTTTCTAGCATTCAGGGTTAGACAGGATTTGTTTCTGAAAAAGAAACCCAGTTTAACTTTCACAATAGTAACAATTTAACAATAGTAGCATGGTAAATGTACTCTATACATATTATTCAGAATGCATCAACAAGAGTAAAAACAAAAAAGTAAAAGTTCTCTGTGTAATGTCATTTCAACCTATTTTTGCTCAATTGCCTCAGTTGGTAAGAAAAAAAGTTGAACACGTCATCATTTTCTGTAATGAGGATGATCAAGTAAAATGTAATATAAAAATAAAAAGTGTATAAACTGCACACTGCACCCTTTGTGCGCACAGAATCAAGAAAGATGAGTTGATCCTATTTCGGCCCATGGTCTTGGAATGATCTGCAGCTTAAGTTGAGGTTGGAGTCTTTTATTCCTTTAGCTAGTTTTAAACAAAAACTGTCAGAGGTTTAAGTCACATCTTGCACCTGTAACGTTTGTCTTAAATTGTGATATTGTTTAAACTTGCATTGTATTTTCTCTCTTAATATTGGATGTTTTGTTGTAAATATTTTAATATTACTGTTACTGTTATTAAGACTATTGCTGTTGTAATGGTTTGTTTGCACATTGCATATTGCCCAGGACATCCTTGTAAAATTATCCTTTATTTATCCAGGTAGTCTCATTGAGCCACGAGAACTCATTTTCAAGAGAGACCTGTTTAGGGAGCACATGGTGGGGTTAAGGGCCTTGCTCATGGGCCCAGAGTGGGGCGAATGAGGGTGGGGGCAAGTGTGGGTGTTTCACCTACCCCACCCACAATTTTGATGTTGTCGGGGGCGTGAACCGGCGATTTTCGGATCACAGGCCCACCTCTCTAACCTCTGCGCCACCACTCCCCAAAGAGAGAGATTAATAATGTCAATGGGTTTCTTTCCTGGTAAAATAAAGGTTTAAATTAAAAAATAAAACAATAAAGGGATTAAAATGGTAAGCCTTTTAGATAATAGCTGTGAACAAACTAATGTGCACAAAGTTGAGATTGACTTGACTTGGAGGAACTGGTTTGAGTCTCTTGAACTGGAACACCCAGATGCTTCTCAGTGTTTGTTGATGGGATCACAAAGATGCTGCGGGAGTCTTCGCTCTGAAACATTTCGTTCAAGGGTGTCTCTTGATTCCATCCACTGCTCTTGGCAAAGATGTAAACACATCCAAAAAGATCAGGAAACAACTGAAGAATATCAACTTCTTTGGCATCTTCGGGACTGTGAAGAAACAAGCAAAAATAAAACAAAATTAATAAAAAAAGACAAACAAAGAATACATCTCTAAAATTATTTTTATCAGTACTGTCTCAAAGTTTAAAATCCTTCCTGAAAAGCCAACATGTTACAAACATTTGTTAGGCTAAGAAAGATCAACAAGTCCCTCAATTATCTCCGACATTGGGTGGAACTTCCAAATAAGGGCTACTAACATTTTTACTAACCATGAACACAACATTTCCTAATGATCTACATCTCCTACCTTTATCTGTGGTTGAGTCAGGGAGACAACAAGTCCAGGAGAGAAACTCAGAAAAGCGTAGTCAGAAACATCATTTAGATGAGTAGTGTTGAACACAAGTACAAAAAGAGTCTAGTGGTGATGTTTTTTTTATTTCTCTACAAATAGTGCCGACCTGACGCTGTGTGTTAAAGTGCATAAAAGTTGAAATGTCTTTAAAATCCACAGCTGAATTTACACAAACTTGGTGAGAAACATGCTTTAACTGTGTGGAAATAAAGTAAGGAAATTTAGGTGAAATGTTGTTTTTTTGTATACTGGTGTACACTTTTGCACACTGGTGCCACCACCAGTGTGTCCCCCACAGTATAGATACTTCTAACACCAATGCTCTCAAGTGACACTCTCTAGCTCATGTTGGGGGGTCCCAAGAAATTCCTAGGCCAGACAGTACCGCGATCGTGAGCCTTGTGGTACACCATTGCTGACTGTTAAATAACTGGAGGAAGTACCATTATGTTGAACGCATTGCCTCCGATCTGAGAGATAGTTAGAGAACCAACCAATGGTGTGATCTGAGAAACCAATTTCTGAGAGCTTATGACACAAGATGTCATGGTTCACAGTGTCAAAAGCTTTAGACAGGTCTAAGAAAAGTGCAGCACAATAATCCTTAGCATCCAGTGCTTCAACAATGCTGTTAAAAACCTTCAGTGAAGCAGTCTTTGAAGCAGTCTTTGAAGCAGTCGTTGAAGCAGTCGTTGAAGCAGACGTTGAAGCAGTCGTTGAAGCAGTCTTTGAAGCAGTCGTTGAAGCAGTCGTTGAAGCAGACGTTGAAGCAGTCGTTGAAGCAGACGTTGAAGCAGAC